GGGGGGGGGGGGGGGGGGCAGGAGGGCAATGTCGACATAAACGAACCGAGACAGAGACAGAGAATAATCGCGGTAGAGAAAGGCATGATGTTCACTGGGTTCCCCGCAATAGTTGCGCAGCGAAGCGACTAGGCCACGTGTGGGTGGACACGACAAGAAATCACCAGCAGCAGCAGCAGCAGCAACGACGACAATGACAGTACTGTACAAGCGACACGTACAACAAGGCGACGGCGAAAGCGTACCTGGAAGCACTTGATGAGCAGCGCGTGCACGGCAGAGTGCAGCTCCTCTCCAGGCTCAGGTCTGAAGTGAACGATGATTTCCTCGAGAATCGTTTCCATTTCCGCCCCCTGCACAAGAAACATGTCGGGCAAAACAAAAAAGAAAATCCTTGAAATCATTACAAAAAAGAAAAAACAGTGGAAAATTCGACAAGTTTTGGCCTCCAACAACACAAACCTGAACCCGCGTCTTTACGAAACACGGTAAACTACCGTAGCTTGGCCACACGTCGACATAATTTGACACACATTTACTGACAATTCATGCATCGCGTGCTATGCGCCCCCCACTAGTTGTGACACGACAACCTGGCCAGCGGCAGCGACGCCGACCACTCTACCCTTCGCCTACACCACACCAGCACCCTACCAAGACCCCAAAAAAACGTAGGAAACCCCTTAATACGGAGGCACGTAATAATCAGGACCAAACAAAAAAAAACGGCCCTAGCTTTCACTCTTGTAATATGATCTTCAGTAGATCATATTACGGATCATATTATGGCGCGAATTGAAGGCACGGCTTTCAAAATTCGAATGCAAGAATGTAATTGAATGAGAACGTAGCTGGTACGCCGTGTATTGCCATGTTATTTTCAAGGGCCGCGCTAACCGGCTGTGTGCTGGACGAAATCATTCACGTAGTTCCCGCAAGCAAAGTTCAGAAACAAGAAGAGAGACGCGGGGATGGCTCACCAGCGCGCAGTGCGCTCTTCTAAGCTGCGACATGAGCTCGTCAGCGATCGCCGCAGCCCCAGCACCCGTCGGAGCCATCGCGGGTCCGGCCCCGTCCACCCCCGGGGGGGGAAGAGCCTGAATCTCGCCGGCCTGCAGCTGCCGCGCGTGCTTCTTCAGAGTGCCCGCGGGACACACCATCTGCGGTTTGGGACCAAGGGCGAGGAGAGCAGAGGGGTAGGCAGGCAGGCAGACAAGACAAGACAAGACAAACACGACAGACGCAGAGAGAAGCGAGAGAGAGAGAGAGAAACACATACATGCACACGAAAGCGACAGACAGACGAACAGAGGAAAAAAATAAACACAGACGGGAGGCGTAAGGGAAGAGGGCGGGGTAGGGGGTAACACAAGATGCTAGACATATTTCGAAAGGGACAAAATATACGAACAATTAGATACACTCAACCCCGCAGCAGAGTAAAACACTTCACCCCCCCTATCCCCACGATGCATCAGCGTGCCCCCCCCCACCGCTCCCCCTCACGGGCCCTGTCAAGAAGATCGCAACACGCACTCTCGCCATGCCCATCCCGGTCAGTGAATGGACTCAGAATAAACCGAACCTTCCCAAAACAAAACAACCACGCTGACACCCTCCCCCCCCCTCATTGATTCTCACCCTGCCCGCTTACGGCAACCTCCCCCTACGATTCTGCTCACCGTGCCCCCCGACGGCAAGCGCACGGACATGGCCTTGGGAAGCTTGTTGCTGTCCGCGGCGTTCGTCGAGCTCCCCCCTCTGTCCGGCTGCTCCCTCCTCTCCAGCAAGAACGCCCTCATGGTGTAGTACACCGATTGCGGGTATCTCTGGGACAAGGCCTTCACCAGGGTCGTCACGTAGTGGGCCTCCCTGTCGAGGAAGAAATAGGGGAAACCGGGGAGCGGGGGGGGGGGGGGGGGGGGGGGGGAAATTTAATTTTCGGAAAAGGGGTT